AAAAAAAGAAAAGAGAAAAAAAAAAAAAAGAAAATGAAGAAACTCAAACATTGTGCTTACAAGTTTCTCTTAGTTTTTGAATTATTCAAATTTGATTGAATGGTTTATTTCCTTTCATCAGTGCCCTAATTTAGTATGCTGTCATTTTTCTGTCTAACATTGATGCAACCCTCATGTGGCCAATTCATTTTGGTTTCGTTCTGTCAGTATGCACTGAAATTAACCTTTGGCATTTCTCATTCTAGAATTTTCCAGGAAAATAAACATGAAAAATATCATCAAATTAGATAAATAAATACAGTAAAAGTGGAAAAATGCATTTGTTGTTTATTTATTTACATAAAAGTACCACATTATCTATTAGTAATTCTGATAAACTTGAAATGAAGATGATTTAGTAAGTTTTTTTTTTTTTTTTTTTTTTTTAAAAAAAAAACCTTTTGTAATTTCAATTTGGATTTATTATCAGAAGCTTCGACCTTTCAAATACAAACATATCTATCAGTTTCAATGTTGATCGCGTTTAAAATACTCACACCTAGCAATTATTTACTAGTAAAATTTAAATTAAAGTGAAGAAAAGTGATTAATAATCGTAAGTCAATACGAGTAAAGGTTATCATTATTACTATCATTGTTATTACTTTATATTACTGTTAATATTATTATTATTGTTCGATACTGATATTATTATTGTTATTATTGTTGTTGTTCTATTAAATTCTTGAATAACTTCAAAGGCATATTTTAGACAACGAAACTTATTTCATCTTTGATTCAGTGAATCGGAATAAATTAATCGGTTAAGCTAATGAAACGGAAAAGAAACAGAGAGAATGTCTTATAAATAATCAAAAATGCATAATAATACGGGCAATTTCCTGAAGTTAACCGGAATGCTGCATCGGTGACATTTCATTTCATCCACATTTCATCATATTTGCTATTATTTTCTAATATTTTTTTCTTGGCATTCTCAAAAATGCATATAAATCTGTTCAGATTCGGAAAGAGTTAGAAATTTTTCAAAAATGAAATTGAAGTTTTTATATTTAAAGAATGGATGCGATGGTTTTTAATTCTTGAAAAGAAAAGTCCAAGAAATAAGTTAAGCTAGTTATTTCTGTCCAACATAATTAGTTTCCAAAATTTGACTTATTTAATATTTCATTTTCTTTTTCTTTCTTTTTTAACTAAAACAACAATACTGATAGCGGTTCAACACCAAATTTTCCACACTTTTCATTCCAACTTTAAAAATTTTGAAAAATACAATAGCTTCAAATTTTAGAGTCCTAAAAAAAAGAAATGCGAATTTTTAGTTAAATTTCTACTCGCTTTTTCCACCTAACAATTATTGTAAACAATATGTTATAATCATAAATTTGTTCATTTTAATCTAAATATTTTTCATTGTTTAAATTGTTTGTTTTTTTTTTTTTTTTTTCATTCATAATTAACATATTAATGAAGTTATAAAGACTGAGAGAGAGTTTGTTTCAAATTTTGTTTTATATTTGCTTTGCTTTTCAATTTATTTATTTACTACATCAAAAATAAATTATTGATTGAATAATACTTTAAAAAAATAATTTCACTTATCTTTCTTTAATATTTCAATTTTTGCTTTGTATTAAAACTTAAGCATTTTTTTTTCTATTCTTACTTGTTGCTATTTATATAATTCTCTTTAGAAGATGCTAGAAAGTAAAAATTTGAGTAGTGAAGAAATGATTGACTCCTAATTGCGTGACTTGATTAGTTTTTTCTTTGCAATCTGTTTCGAATAAAATTTAAATTTTCAACTCATTGTACTTTAAAGTTTCTTTCGGGATTTTTCAAATTCAATTTAATACTTCGTTTTTTATAATTGTAATGTATCAATTGTACGTTTTCATTATTAGCTAATTCAACAAATTTACTGCTTTTGCTACATTTCTTTCGTTCCTTTTTTTTTTTTTTTTTAAAGTTTACTTAATAGTTAATCTGACAAATCGTTAAATTATCAAAATTTTTTTTTTTTTTTTTTTAATCGATACATGTTAGAAATTGATTTTTAACTAAAAAAATTGTTAAAATTTACCATTCATAATTGCTTCAATGTTAAATGAAGGGAATAAGAAAAAGCAAAAGAAGCAGAAAAGAAGAAGCAAAAAAAAAAGAAAAGAAAAAATGATCTTCTTATAGAACATTTTAAATTAGTGAAATAAAATACAATGAAAAAGTTAAAACATAAAAAACAAAAATTATCCCTTTTTTAACTTATTTATTTACTTATTTTAATTAATTTGTTTATATTTTTTTTTTTCCATAATTTTGCTTATGTAAAATACGATGCATTATGCATTATGTAGTAAATTTAGAAAAGATTTAAAAAGTGAGTAAAGATGGCTTAGAAGATAAATGATGGATGATTAGTTATAAAGTTGTTTCATTATTCGTACATCATTTTTGCACATTATGCGACATAAATAGATGTATATATTAAAATAACATTTGAACCTATTCTAATGTCATTTTTCAATGTCATCCTTGTTCTTTCAGTATCTTTATATTTATCATTATTTAAGCTATCTTTGGTCTTATTTAAAATTTATGCAAATTACTCATAACATGTGATAGCTTTATATAAATATCAATGCTAGATTAATAGATAAATGATAATTTTTTGTAAATTTTTATGATTGAATCTTAAAATATTTTTTTTTTTCAATAATCTAAAATTTTATCACTTATATTTATTCAGTTATGCAGACAGTTTTGTTATTTATTCATTTTCTTTTAGCAATGCTAAAAATTGTTTAAACTTTAACAATGAATTTCACGTTTCAATCATTCGTCATTTCTTTTCAGTCAATTGAAATTTGGTGAAGCGTTAAATTTTTATATTTCTACATTTTCACTGCTTATATATACTTATCTCTTTCTTCTTCTTGTTTTTTTTTCCTTTTCTTTTCTTCTATAAAAAAAAATATATATGTATAAATTAGCATAAAAATTATGATATTATGATTGAATTTAATACTTTCTTTCTATTTTTTTTTTTTTTTTTTTTATAAGATGAGATAAAGAAAAGAAAAAATTAATTAACCTTTTTTTTTTTTTTTTCTTCCACTATTTATTCTCATACATATTAAATGTATTTCATCGTTATCTAATGATTCGATTGAAAAATAAAATAAACGTTTGTGCTTCTTTAATAGCTCATTTTTTTTTTATTTCAATGAAGACGTAAATTTCTTTCCATTAGTTACATCATTATTCAATTTTACATTCTAATTTTCGTTCATGCCAATTGACATTTTTTTTTTTTAAGCGATAATTTTTATTGAAATATATGTTCAATTTTCATCTTTTTGTAAAAAAAAAAGGAAAAGAATTAGTAAAGTTTAAGCAATATTTATTTTTGTTTGGAATGAATTAAATCTAAATTTGAAATTTAACTTTTGAATAAATAAAGTTAACTCGTTGATTTTTTTTTTTTCATTCTCTTTTCATCTTCCTCTATTTTGCTATTTTCTTGCAAAAGCTATATATGTTCAAATAAAAGTGTAATTGCGAAGTTAGTCACAAATCTTATCATAATAGTAATTTATTAATGAAATAATGAAAACAATAAAGAAATTACGAATTAATCATTTGTATAAAGTAATAAACATATAGTAATATAGTAACATAGTAGTATAAATAATAAATATACCACTGAAAAATAAAATAAATAAGCAAAATCAAAAAATTTATGCGAAAATTTTGATTTCCACTTACTTTATTATCAAATAATTTTCACTTTATTTTCTTATTCTTATCTTATTTTCCTTTTTTTTTTTTTTTTTCATCTACAGTAAATTTGTTGTAAAAATTTGAAATTTATTTTATTGATTTAAGGAGCATTCTTATAGATACATTTTTTTTTCACTTTTTTTTTCTTTTTTGTAACAAAATCTAAACGAAGCATATGGTTTATAAAATGTGAATTAGCAAGTGTTAAAATTTAGACATACATTCTTGATTTCAAACTACTAGGAAAAGGTTTGCAAAGATGACAAAACAATCTGATAAGAAAGAATTGGCATTTTTGAAAAAAGCCACACGGGAATTTATAAAATTATAGTATGAAAAAAAAAAAAATAAAATAAAATAAAACGTTCAAAGTTATATTTATAAAAATAAAGAGAAGGAGAAAAAAAAGAAGATGAAAAAGTTATGAAAAAAAAAAAAAAAAAAGGTCAAATATATAAACTTCATTTTATTTTCATCGTTCATTTATATGTTACAAAATTTCTTCTAATTTTAAAATATTTAGTTTTGATTAAAATTTTTTTTTTTTTTTTGATTAAAATTAATATTTAGTTTTGATTTGCAAATATTTAGTTTTGATTAAAATTAAAGCAACAAAAACATTTTACAAACATATAATACATCGTTTGTTAATTATGCCTTTAAAAAATTTAATTCATTAATTATCAATTGTTGATTTTCTTTTCTTTTTTTGATAAAAGAAATAAGAAAAAAGAATAAAACTAATTAGAAATGCCTAATTAAACTCACATCGTTCATTGTTATTATATAATATATTTACTATGTTTTTACACTGTAACAAATAATAATAATAACGTTGATAATATTAATAGTAATAAATAACAATTAATAATAGTAATAATGAAGTAACAAATATTCATCTTATTACAAATGCATGATTATTTTGCAATTATCTGAACTGCATAATTTTTAAAATCATTTAAGTAAGATGTACACGTTTTTTTTGCTTTTTGCTTTTTTAATCATGACTTTTGTTATCATTGGAGATTTATTCATCAGACTGCAATTTTAAAAAAGAATTTTTTTTCTTTTTCTAATTTTTTCTAAAATTTATTTGATAATTGATTCGCCAACTTTTTTTTTTTTTTTATCGTTTCAACTCATTCAAATTTTTGATACTTATTTTACAGGTAATTTTAGGAGAGCAGAAAACGAAAAATCGAATTAATATTGCTTTCCGGATGGGAAAGGGGATTAAAGGAATAAAGGATCAATTACATCTGGTATGTCTTAAATCGGAAAACTATCTAATGATTGTACATAGTATAATAAAATAAAAAGTATCACATTGCTAATTGCTAAATAGTTTTTCTTTTTTTTTTTTTAAAAGTGTCAAATATTCCAAACAGAAATAAGCAATATTTTGCTGCATTTTTAATTTTTTAAATTTTACATTTTCGTTTGAATTTTAAAGGTATTAAATGTCACTAAGTTCTAGATAGATATATGTATAAGTTTGTCATAAAATTTACGTTTTCTTTTCACAATAGTCTCGAGTTATTATTATTATTTCATTATCACAATTCTTATTCCTATTGTTATTATTATGCTTTTTGAGTTGCTGATGTTTAATTAATTTCTTTAGTCACATTATAATTCTGTATTGTATAAACTTAATTATCTCATTTTACTTAAGCAATTTTCTATCAAATCATCTTGATTATAATTTGGGCCTCTCTCTCTCTCTCTCTCTCTCTCTATATATATATATATATATATATATATATAATGCTATTTAAATAAATGATATCAAAATTTTTACGAATATATCAAATGCAAGCAAATAAGTTGCACTAAATTCTAGCTATTATCAATCAGGAACTCAATAACTTTTGACATATTACTTAATTAAAATGCCTATTTCAGATGCACAAATATCTTATTTACTTTTTGCCATATAAAATTTGAATATATATAATATTAAATTAATAGCAAAGAAATTTGAAAATTATTTTGAATTACATTAGCCACTAAATGTTTTGACATAATACAAAATTACCTTCGAATATTTAAAGCACAGAAATTCTAAAGATCATTCGTCATTAATTTATCGAATAAATTTTTAGAGTTACTTTAAATTTTATCAAATTATTGCAAACAATTAAATTTTGTTTTGACCTTTCATTGTTCAATCGATGCATTACAATATTTCCGAGATTTGCACAATTTTATCTTTTTTTTTTTTTCTGGGATGCATAATCTATTACATTATCAATGACATTAATTAGTTTTAAAAAGAAACTAATAAATTTTGTCAAATAGTTAAGTAAAATATTAATTAAACATAAATTGTTCTATGCTTCGTACAATTTAATTTATTTCTATAATAAATGTGCACTTTCATTTTTCAGTCCAATCAAATTTTAATTTAGAAATGAATCCTTTTTTTTTTTTTTTTTTAAACTTTTTCGCTTACTTTTTTTCTTCCATTTTTTATTTCATTTTCTATTTCTCTTATTTTCATCCAATTTCCATTGTTATTTACACGATGAATTTAATATTAATAAAAAATTAATGACAGCTAAATTTGTTATCATTTGTATTTTAGATAGAATTTGATCATTTCATTACAGTTTTTTAATGTGAAATTAGCAAATTATTTTCATCTTGATAAAACAGAAAAAAAAATTCCAAATAATCAGTGATAAAATAGATTTAAGGCTAAATAAATTAGTAATAAATCAGTTTCAACAATCAATAAATTAGCAGCAAATTAATTTTAATATTTGATAATTACTTAATTTAATTATAAAAAACACTAATGTTTTTTTTTTTGAATAAAATATGTTTTTTAGTTTTTCTCATTAAAATTATTTTATTTCAGATTACACTGAATTATTATCCAATATAAAATTTTACTACCAGCAAATGAAAGTATTGTAATTTTCTTTCCTATTAACATTTATGATGCTCGTAGGAAAAAAGATATTTGGTGATTAAAGTTTCAGAAAAGAAAAATATATTTATATAATAATTGTTTGAAAGATTAAATTTCAATTGCCATTAGCGTTTTTTGACCAATTTCAAAATCTGCTTTTTAAATTATTATTGAATGTATTATTATTACTAATATTTTTTGAAAATAAAAATTGCATAAGTTAGTTCATCAATAATTCTCAAAAAAAAAAAAATGAATTTTTTTCAAGTTTCCAGGTCGGTATCATTTCCTTCTTTTATCATTAGCGATAACTTTATCTGATTTATCGTTGTTATCTTTTTTCTTTCAGAAAGTTTGAGGCTTATAATTTGCTAACATATAAAAAAAGGCAAAAATTATAATAAATGAATAAGTATACCATTGTCGAGTTAAACGTTTTAAATGATAAATTAGTTAATGATTATGATTGTCAATAGCAAAAGCAACTTAATTTGATGCAAAAAAAAAAAAAAAAAAAAAAAAAAACAAAAAAAGACGAAAATAAAAAAATTAATTTCATGTTTTAAAATAATTAATTATGTTTTTTCAGTATTATCTCATAAAAATTATTGAAATTACAACATTCAAACTAATTTAATTGGCTTTCTCCAATTTTTTATTTCGTTTTCACTTTTATTTTTACGAGCAACAAAAAAGGGAAGATAAAGAGAGAGAGAAAGAGGGAGAGGGAGAGAAAGAAAGAAAAGCAAAAGAGAGTAAAATTTTAAAGAAATAAAAATTTTGTGAAATTAACCTCGTTCTCTTCCAATTCATTTAGCTTCTTTTAGAGCGATCTTTCATTTTTGTTCAAAAAAGTAGTAAATAAATAAATAACACAAAACAGGGAAAACAAAACAAAATAAAACTTCAATTGAAGTCGTTTTTTTTCTCTAAGTTGCACCATCCAACATTGTTAGCAAAATCTATTCAAATTTACAACAACAAAAAATATTGTTAGTTGGAACAAAAAGAAAATTATAATTAGAAAATAAAATTTAGTGAAAAGTAAAATATTAGTTAATTTATGCAATACATTATATAATGACAATTCAAATGAGTATTATTAAAGAAATTGCAGTGCTTTCATTATTCAAATTTATTTTGATAAAAAAAAAAAAAAAAAAAAAATTTTAATGAAACAAAAAAAACAATTCAGATTGATTTGTTATTGAGATTTCAAAAGTTAACAGATCAATTTGTTATTCGATTGCAAATTAAAAAAAAAAAAAAAAAACGAAAAAAAATGCTTGAGATATTGATTAAGTAGTTTATGTCATTGTCAAAAATTTATGATGAATGAATGTTTTCGCTTTATAATTTTAAAAAATTTTTAATTTATTTCTTTTTGTCTTTCAAACAATTATAAATTAAAAAAAAAAAAATAAGATTAAATAAGAAATAATATTTCAGCTTACGCCCTATGCGCTTCATTTGGTTTTGGTTGTTGCTGTTGCCGCCTATGTTCTCCTGGGAGCATTAGCAATACGACAACTTGAAGCTATTGCTATCAATCGAAATTCGACAGTTCAATTTTATCATATATATTATTAAAATTAAATTCTTTCTAGATTTTACATACTTTGCAATGTATTAAAATTAAAAATTTATATTTTAAATATTTTGCAGCATACTAGTTCTAATTAATAATTTCGTTTTATAAAATTTTAATCATAAATTTCATTTTTTTCTTCTGAAAATTTAAATTATTATTATCGTTTTTTTTTCTGCTGTGTGTAATCTAGAATGGGGAAAAAAACAAAAATTATAAAATTATAGATGATTAGAAATGATAATATATATCGTGGTGATGATAAACGAAATAAAATTGGTCTTACAGAACAAAACAAAAATGATTATTGTATGTTTTTTTTTTTTTTTCTTTTTTAAATTTATTTTATTCGTTTTATTTCGTTTTATTTCTTTTTTTTTTTAGAGAAAAAAATGATAAATGTTTAACAAAAATAGGGAACAAATAACTGTTATTTTCAAATTTTAATTAATTACAAAATATTCAGCTAATTTTTTTAGAGAAATAATTTCTTTTGTCTTTTGTGAAATAAAAATAAAATTCGAAATTACAAGCATTTTAAAATATTTATTAAACAATTCTGATTTTTTTACGTCCAAAAGTATTGTATTAAAAAGAAAAAAAAAATGACAAAAGAAAAATTGAAAAAAAAATCAAAAAGAAAAAAAAAAGATTTAAGAAAAGAAATATTGGAACATTTTTTTTTTCTTCAATCGTTTAGCTGTGAACTTTTCCGAAAGGAAAAAAAAGAAAAGGAAAAACAAAAAAACAAATCTCCATATAGTTTTAATTCTCGAGAGAAAGAGAAAGAGAGAAGGTTTTTTTTTTTTTGCTTTTAAAAATTACCATTTTTTGATGTATTAGTTAATGTTGAATGAAAAAAAAAGTGCATGCTACGCTAATTTCAAATTTATATTTAAATAAAAAAAAGGAGTGATAGAGGGAGAGAGAGAGAGAAAAGGAGAAAAGAAGAAAAAGGAAAAATGAAATGAAAAATGAAAGAAAAACGATTAAAGAAGATAAAAACACAAAATGCAATTGTAATTTTAAATCTAACAAATCATGCAATTATAGTTTTAATTAATATATCATTTTAAATTTTTAACTAAAAGTAAAAAACAAAAAAAAAAGAATTTTTGTTAGGAATAAAATTAAATTATGTTTCTTTTTTTTTTATTTTTGAAGGTGAAAAAAATTTTTTTTAGTACGATCCAAAATGGAATGTATGATCGAAATGTTAAAACAAAGGAGTAGCGCTAAAATTTGTGATGAAGGACATTTGGATGAATTAACCGATGATGTTTACAATATTTGCTTTCAAGAACAAATTTATGATGATCGAAATGAAAATAAAATTTCTCGAAGTATCAGTTAAATTCCAAAAATTTTTTATTAAAATTTCTTATTTATAGTTTTTTTTTTCCTTCCCTACTGCAATGTGGACATTACGAAAACGATAAAGTGAAAAAATTTTTTTTAAACATTATCAATAATTTAAATTTCATTTGAAATTTTAGCCACAAAATGATTACTTTAAAATAGTTCAATCCAAATTACATATTTTAATTTTGATTACAACAACTATTAGACTAATTCTACTGTGATTTTTTGAATTTCAATTCGGCTGATTTAGTTAAAATTTTAATTTTAAATTTATTAAGATACTATTGGTACAAATGATGTTGATTATCTTTATTGGTCTCTTATGGATTCCATTGTTTTCTGTTTTACCGTAATAACAACAATTGGTATGTTTCTTTTTTTCTCTTTTCAACAGAAGAAAAAATAATGAAATGAAAATGAAAAGAATGAAAATTAGCAATTTTTTAAATTTCAATTATTAAAATTTAAATCAAAAAACACTTTTGTATATATTACCCATCACCACAAATATCATTCAATTCTTATGATTTCGGTCAAAAAAAAAAAATTTTTTTTTCTTTTATTTCAGACAAAAACTTTTTTTTGTAAAAAATTATTTTTATCTAGAAATATGATTAAATTTATTGCAGTAATTTTTCTAATATACTACATATAAAAAAATATATAGTATTTAACAAACATATTTTTATTTATATATGCATTAATATAGATTTATTTAATGGAACTTTTTCTCCTTTTTTCTTTTTATTTTTCCGTTTATTTTCAGGATACGGTAATGTGGCACCAAAAACAATGGAAGGAAGACTTTTTGTAATAGCATATGGTGTGTTAGGCATACCATTTACAATGCTTGCAATTGCTAGTTTGGGTAAATTTCTAGCCGAAATTTTGAAAGGAATTACACAATTAACTGCTCGTTTATTAAAGTAATCTTTCATTTTTTTTTTTCGGAAAATAATAAAATAAAATTATAGAATAAATTTTTCAAACAGAACAGAAAAACAAATAAAAATAAAATTAATTTATGGCTTAAATAAAATAAAAATCTAAACGGTAAACTGTACTAAATAATGGAAGATTAGAATAATGACTAAACATTTAAATTATAAACATTTTTTAGATGTTTAAAAAAAATTCCCTTATGTTTAAGTTTTCATTTGCATTTTTTTTTTCATACACATTTACAGTTTATCCATTTTTGTGGGTAACAATCATTACGATGAAACTAAATATCATGAATTATGGTGCTAAATTTTTACAAATATTATTAGTGTAATCAGACAAAAATTTTTTCGACTAAGACAAATGAGAAGAATTAGGAAATTTTAAAGATAAACGTTAAAAGGCAGAATTAAGCTTAAAATCGTTAAAATTGTCGAAGCGAATGGCAAATTTTGACAGACTTTTTTTGGTGGCTTTCGTAAATCAAATTTTTCAAATTTAATGATCCATATTCAATCTTTTTCTTTTTTATCTCTCAAGTTAAAGATATTCAATCTTTCTGTAATTAAAATTTTATAACTTCAAATAATTTTGCAGGACAATTTTCTGCTGTTACAGTGTGCAAAAACAGTTCAAGGAAAAAGAAGCTCTAATCAGTGATTTAAAAAATGATGATAACAAGCAAGTATGTTCTTGATCTAAGAGTTATATTTTAAAAACAAACAAACAAACAAAAAAAAAAAAAAAAATGCAAAGAAAGCACAAAAAGATCTTGAAATTTTAAGTTATTTATAAATAAATAAGTGGGGAAAAAAAATTTTTTTTTTGCATATTTTGTCAATGTAAAAAAAATGAGTATATTACAGGGAATTGCAAATGATGACGATATATCAGGTAGTTCTGAAATAAAAAAGGTTAGCAAAAAATTTATTTAATTTCATCTATTTATTTATTTTTTTGTAGATGAAAATTTTCCTTATAAGTAATGATGGTACTTGTTGTTTTATTAAGTCACAACAATTTAAATTCCTGGAAAAAAATGTTAAAAGCAAAAAAAAAAAAAAAAAAAAAAAAAAACATGAGAAATTGATTGAGAATATTTTGCATATTATTTCATCAATTGTAATTTAATATCATGAAATTTCCAAAATTCTATAAAATTTTTTTTTTTTTATAGGTGGAAAAATGGGGCGAAGCATTGGTACTAATTGTGGCCTTTTTCATTTACATCATAATTGGTTCAATAGTTATTGCAAGCTATGAACCGGAAATGGATTTCTTTGGAGCTATTTATTTCAATTTTGTATCACTAACAACTATCGGTTTAGGTGATTTGGTGCCTAAAAAGTAAAAATTTAATCTTATTTTCAAATTTAAAATTATAAATTATCAAATATAGAAGGAAATCATCATAATAATCATAAAATGTTTAAAAATTTATAATTTTAAGCTTAATTTCATAGCTCGTCTAGCAAAAAGCCGAATAATAGCCCAAAAAGAAAATCATATTCGATAATTTCAGATATTTGAAATTTTAATAATTTAAATCATTTAAAACATCAGTCAGAAATATTCAAGTAATTTTTTTTTTTTACGGATTTTAATAAAAACATTACAGAAAAGAAACAATAAAGTTGTATGGAATTTATTGGATAATTGCAGAAAAAAAGATAATTTATTTTAAAATTTTATTTCATTTTTTTTTTTTTAGTGAAAAATACCTGGTGTTAACATTGATTTACTCAGCTGTTGGTTTAGCATTAACAACTATTGCAATTGAAATTGCTGCTGAATATTTGAAAATGTTACATTATTTTGGTCGTAAAATTGACAATGTTGCAAATGTACAAATTTGGTTTGGCGGTAAAAAGTAATATTACTATTTTAATTAACAAGATATGAAATTGTCTTACTATTTTCTTATACAATTTCAAGAGTAATATCACATTGTCTTGCAATTTCGAAAAGATTTATTCCTGAAAAATATCACGGATAAATTAGCAAAATCGTAATACTGAATATAATAATATTGTTTATAATTTATTAAATTTTATTCTGGATATCAATTAAAACAAATAGGATAGTGCATGAAAAATAATCACTGAAAAGCTGAAGGTAAGTTCAAATCGATACAACTATAAGTTTTATAATTTCAGAAGTTACATCTGCACAACAGTGTTTGGCCTAGATCTTTAGTGTATCTCACAAATCTCAAATTAATTTTTTTTTTTTTTTTTGTAGGCTTACAATGAAACAACTGGTTCGAAATCTGGGTGATTATTTCGACTTACCAATAAATGAAATTGCTGATCTAAACCTTGATGAATTCGTTAATGCAGCAATTAAAGTAGAAGCAGGTGAATTAGGTACTTTACGGGTAAGTTTATTGACGAAACTTCCGCATGCTTATTAAATGTATTCATAGGATTTTAAACTTGCTGTTTCAGACTTGATTATAAAATTTATCAAAAGATATAGTTAAAAATCATTACAATCATCCAATAAACAACTTTCAGTGTCCACGACCAATCACTGTTGACATCGAATCGATAATTTTCGTGGATGCAGATGAATCATACATGTAGCAGTAGTATGTAACAAATTTATTGTTTTATTTGCGTTATCGTATTCATGATTCATGGTTAAGAATTGAGCTTTTATTTAAAAAAATAAATAAAGTATAGAGAGACAATACTGTTTGATCTCATCTGTATATAGTATGGACCAATAAACATCTCCTCTTTTTATAAGTGTAGAAATTAATAAACATTGTTTTAAAGCGGCACTTATGCATTATTTAGATCATTTAATTCTTAAGCAAATAATCAGCAAATAATGAAACACATGAAAAAGTTGATGTTTGACGAGGAAACTGACATGAAAGGACGAGCATCGAATCAATTAATAGCTTTAGATGGAATAATCAATTCAAAAAATAAGTAGAAAAACTCGGAGAGAAGAAAAACAGTTCAGAGTTACAAGATAAAAGTCCGTATAAGATTCTATAACAAGATAGAATAATATTATACTACAGCGAATATTACTTATTATTTTAATAACTCTAATGAAAATTTCCTCATGTGCAAAAAGAGATAATTAATAGAAAAATGGAAAAAATAAATCAACAAAGAGTAGTTTTGAAAAAACTTGAACTCAATTTATTATTACTTGTTTTATGAAGTTTTTCTATAAAAAATTTGTAACGATAGTTAAAAAGAATAGAGAAACAAGATATCACTTTCAAATACTATTGATAGCTTTGCCACAAAATGCTTGTAAATTAGCTTCGCGAAAAGCTTCTGAGAGTGTCTAAAAAATTACAAATTATTCTAAATAACCAAGCTGAACACCAAATTATGCATGTGAAATCCGGAAACTTTGTAAGAATTAATAAACAAACTATATAACTAGAAGGATCTCTTATGAGTGATGATATCAGTAACGAAAGTGCTCTGACTCTTCTCATAACTAACCATATTGTCAAATGATCTCAGAGTAAAATAAGAAACTAACAGGATGTGGATGACAAACTCGAGCCACATCTTCACAGGATGCTCCATATTCCAAAGCTAAGGTTGCTTCTGCAATCATTTCACCAGCATTCTGCAATGATTGAAAGGATTTCATCAAAATCGAAATTTAGATGAGCAAACAACAATCAAATTAAAAGATTTTGGCAAAGATGAACATCTGCTCTATCCGAAAGTCTTTGGAAGTACTTCAGAAAATTTAATTGTGGTCATAAACAGCAATTTATATAGAAATAAATTAAAGTGAACCAATGGATAACCTTCTGTCGTACACTCGGAGAATACTATAAAACATAAAAACTTTGGAGTTAAAAAACGAGCATACCGGTCCAATGATATGAACCCCCAATATTTTATCTGTCGCTTTGTCCCCTAAAATCTTTACAAATCCTTCTGCATCATTATTCGTTTTAGCACGTGAATTTGCCATAAATGGGAATTTGCCAACTTTGTATTGCACATTCTAAAAATAAATGATCAAGATTTCAGCAAATAACTTGCAAAAATAGATGAAAAAAAAGCAGCAAAAGGAAAACATGCTAACTTCACTCTTCAACTGCTCTTCGGATTTGCCGACCCAAGCAACTTCAGGATGAGTATAAACAACTGAGGGAATGCAGTTGTAGTCCAAATGTGTTGCTCCACCTGCTATGCCTTCAATGCACAAAATTCCTTCGTCCTAAAGTTTTAAAATATTAGACACAATTTCATGTTTTGATTTGTTTTGTTTTGGAAAAAAAAAATTTAACATTAGCAGTATCACATCCTCACCGTCATTAGTTCATAATAGTTAGCCAAGATACAATAAAAGCTGAGCTCAGTGATCACACACTTTGCCAGTTGTCCCCACAAGTAAGTAGGTAGAACAATTTAACACCTGAATTTTAATCTCCAAATATTAAAAGTTTTAACTAAGTGAACGTGGAATTTATTACACCGTTGTGATGGCACACTTCCCGATTTTATAAGCATAGGTCTAGACTTAAAATATTTAAAGGTAAATTTACTTCTGCCTTATGTGCCAACATCGGCCCAGCAATTACATCACCAATTGCAAATATTGACGGGATAGAGGTTTGAAAACGTTCATTGACTGGTACGCGTCCCTTTGAATCCAATTCTATGCCAACATTTTCAACTCCCAGTCCTTCTGTGTACGGTCGTCGGCCAACTGCGACAAGGACAGTATTTGCTTCCAACTGAATTAAAATACTTCTTTGAATATTTATAAATCAAAGACCAAAATTTTCAGTCTAGCAACGCAATTTAACTTTAAAAAATAATATATATAACAGTAACACACTTTTACTGCGCATAATTTCTAACTAATTCTCACAAAATACTCTAATTTTCATATATAAAAAGATGTACTTGTAAATCAAGCATAAGCACGATGAAATATGAAATATTACAACTTAGCTTTACAAACTACAAGTCAAATTTAGCAACTGATGAAATTGCCAATTAATATAAAACGTCAAAAGTTTCTGATAAATATCGAATACATAAATCTACACCGTTTGAGGATTTCCACCTTTTGCACTTTCTACACTTATTTTAACCAAATCACCTTCCTTTTTTCCGCCTGTTACCTTTGTATTCATCATGAATTTCATTCCTGAAATGACTTTATAATTTCATTACCTTAAAAAAAAAAAAAAAAAAAACGCAATAAGACTTGCGTCAAAAGAAAAAAAAAAAAAAAAAAAGTATACATATTACCTTGTTTTGCAAGTGTTTTCTGGAAAAATTTTGCTACTTCCATATCGATACCCATCCCACCAGCATGTCCAAGAAATTCAATAACCGTTACATCAGCCCCTAATCGTTGCCACACACTTCCCTAGATACAGTGACATAAACCATACAGAAAGAGATTTTAATTTAATGTGCTACCTGAACCATCTTCACAATCTTCACAAGGTAAATTCTGAATCTTTTTATCCTTTCTCAAATCTTTTCTCCTGTTCATCAAATTCACTCTTCATTAATTAAAATGTTTACCAATTCAGCACCGATGACGCCTGCGCCTATCACAATCATTTTTCTTGGTACTTTTTTCAAAGACAGTGCGCCTGTTGAAGAAACAATCTAAAATAGTTTTCGGCGCACAAAGATGAAGACCCATCTATCGACAAGGTAAGGGAAAAACTGTTACATTTAATAAAAGCAATTTAACATATTAACCAAAAGTTAAACAACTCTACATGGAAAGTTAAACTACTAAGCCGAAATAACCAATTTGAATTAGACAGTCAAAACCTGAGAGCTTAACCGGTACTCAGGTTCTACATCAGAGCAAAACTAAGTTTAAGCAATGATTTAATTTAACAGCAAATTTTGATACGAAAATATCATTCATTAGGACTAAAGAAAGAGATACAAGAAAATGTTTAATAAAGAGAACTGAAGATCTTACTTGTTCCTCATCAACAGATAAAGCTGGAAAAGGAGTAACTTCGGAACCTGATGCAATAAGTATATTACGTGTCACGATCTTTTCTTCGCCACCTCCAGTAAGCTTTATAGTGACCTAAAACTTTTTGTTACAATTAATTTTGCAAGTCAGTCTCTAACAATAATAGCAACGTACTTCATTTTTTCCTGTAATCGTCGCTACTCCATTGACTGGTCTTACTTTGTTCGCTTTAAATAACATCTCTATACCACCAGTCAAAGCTTTCACTGAAGCTGCTTTTGCAGCCATCATTTTGTCCAAATTCAGTTTCGGCTCAACTTCAATACCTAAACTGAAACATAAATGTCTGAAGAGGAGGCTGGAGCATCCTGCATTTCATCCCAAACCAATTAAGGGTTACGACCTTTACATAAAATTTTTTTTTTGAGAATAATCAGAAGAAAACTCAATCTATGGATAACAATGAAACAATACCAAACATTACAAAGGAATTACAAACTTCAGTCACAATGACCTTTTAAAACGCAAACATTTCAAAACCTATTCAAAAACTCACTCCTATAGAAGGAATCAAAACAAAACTAGGATCCTGAAAGAGGTGGTTAAGCATAGATTAGAGCAAGTAGGCCCAAACTTCTAATAAAATTCTTTTTATCAATAAACCATTGTAAAAAACAGTCAATAAAAGACGAACTGACCTCGGCTATTAAATTCACCGTGTTTGGCCATATGATAGTACAATGAGTTATTCAATAAAGACTTCGATGGAATGCATCCGACATTCAAACAAGTACCCCCTAATTTCAGATTCTTTTCTACACATACTGTATTCATGCCCAGTTGAGCTGCTTTGATTGCTGCTACATAACCACCCGGACCAGCTCCAATAACTACCATATCTATATCTGAAACAATGCTGCCTAAATTGATTAATGTAATTCTTCTTGTCCTTCTTTTTTCAATTTGTAAGCTTATCTCTAACTTGACGAAAAAAACCCGGGACTCTCAAACTGTTTAGTTCGCTATCAGCTATCCTAAAAATTAACTAACGTGAAATTTTTGAATAACAAAATTAAATAATATAAGAACGGTAACCATTAGTCGCATAAGATCGAGCATTAACACCGAGAAGCGAAAAGTTCTTCCAAACTGTTCGAAGAACAATTTTTCGATAAAGCATATTATAACTGCAACTGATTTTAGCTGAAAATGAAAGTGATGTCACTTAATACTAAGATGGAACAGAATTAGAAGATTCAAGCCAAATCCTCTTATTACTACTAATAATGAAACAAAAAAGCGACTATAAACTATCTCCATAGTTTATAGTTAGTTTGCTGTTGCATTATTGTCATTAATGCAAACTTCACAAATCAAGGAGCAAAAATGAACGAAATCCCACATGGCCGAACAGCGTTTGACTATCACTTAACGTTAGCAATTATTTTGATTTTGCAATTTTGAAGTGAGTCTCCAGGACTATCACACTGGCAAAACTTTGCTGAATTATTACATGAAACTGATATGCAAACCAGCTGGAATGCTTAAGTCACTGTGTTTTAAAGACCAAAAAAAGAAGGAAAAAAGAAAATGAAACATTTTAAACAGTTTCTTTATTACACAACAATTTGACTTTCAACTTTTTCATAAAACAATCTTTTCGGAATGATAATCACAACTAGAAATGATCGTTATCAAGTACATGTTTGCCGCTGTGGTTATAAATAGCGGTTCAGAACTATCGATTTCCGAATAATTTTCCACTGTTCAAAGGCAGTACGCAATACCTTCATTAAAACAGCAAAATTATATCTATTTTCCAAACATTAGTCAACCAATTCAACTCGTTTTTTTGCTTCACTTTTGAAATAAGCGCTAATCCGAACAAAAGAAACTTTGTTACTACGTCATTCTTAGATCTTAGCATGATTTGCCAACCTTTTTCGGTCTTGTTTAAATTTATCTGGAGTTTCTGGGAGAAAACTACTAACGAAAGCTACTCGCTATCCTACAGTTTACCATTTCCTCTGGCAATTGACTATTTTATTTTATGTTTAATTGGTAATATCTGTTGGTACTATCATATGCTTAAGATCATATGTATTATATAAATCTGAAATGTATCACTGAAGCGTTTGCGAAAAAAAATTTCGAATTGAAGTGTTATATCATATTGTATATTATAGACTAAACAGGATTACGCAGAAGCAACATATGTCCAGAAATAGTACATTCCGTTGCTTTAATCAACATCTCATTAGTAATTTCTCAAACTTTTATGGAAATTTGATTGATCAAAAAAGCGTGATTAAGACTAATTTTAAGATGGATTTTTCTGTTGTATATTGCTAGACTAAACAGGATGATTATATCTTTTCGGGAAATTATTTACAAACAAATAACAAAAGATATATGACAAATTGATAAGACTAAAATTTAAAATTAAAATATTTTTTTTTTTAAAAAAAAGAACTAAATAAATGTCACACACGTTTGCAGTGTTACATTATATTAAACATCCTACAAAGAATTAATGATGTCAGTTTATCAATAACAAACATCCGAAAGTATTACAAAGCATATTTAAATTACTTATCGAACGATGATAAGTGGTGATCATCTCCTTTAACAATTTCTAATCACGATAAACAAATGTTAAAATCTAAACAATAAAACAGTGAAACATCGGTCCAACATGGTTTCCGCTATTTACTCGTCATCAAACATAGCATTCTGTTTCTGTAGCAATCATTTTGACGTGAAATATTGCAATCCATTTGTCCCACATATTTCACTTATTGCAGTGAGAAAAAAATTTCCGTATGATAGCAAATAGAATTATAGTATCGAAATTAGTTGTTGGCTTGATATCTACGGTTGTCAGTTATAATAATTGATCGGTCATTGTTATATTTTCATTTATTATTCATTTAATGCCAAAAATCATGTGTAATTATTATTGGAGTCTTTCACATGTAATGTTTGTTGATAGTGTAATATTTTATCGTTTTTACATACTACACTTCAGTTTTTTGATTGTTGAATGAATAATTTTGTGCTTATTGTAGAGCTTCCTTTTCTTAAAAATTATTTACAACTATACACTTCCTTATTTCTTCATTTACATTACTTCTTGGGAATCATTGTGATTTTGATATTATTGTTTAACTTTTGACATAGTACTGATTGTTCCATATTAGTGTTAAAGTATCATTTCATATAGATTTATTGCATTTTCAATTTAAGTCTTAGCTACCTAGTACTGATTAGTGAATAGAACAAATGCTGACAGAAGATTGAGTGCTAGGTGTATATGAAATGCATGAGACAGGTCCACAACGATTCATTTTCGACACATGCACTTGTTAGGGGATAACTTAGAATAATAGTGTTATCTTGCTAAAATGAATAATTCAAGATAGTTATCATCTTAAAGTTATCATATGCGAATTTCATAGGACATCTAAAAATAAGGTATATACAGATTTCTTAGAATAATTTTACAATAAAAATTCCAATTTTTGATTCAGGTGATACGACGACAGTTTATCCGTTACAAGCAGTGATGATATCGAATTGATGAAAGATCTCGAAATACTATTTCAAGCATTTGTAAATTTTAGATGCTAAAGAGGATTGAATTGGTGAGTGGTTTGTGAACAATATGATTCGTAAACAGCACCCCATACGAATGACAGTTTATAACCGAAATGTGCGGAGTACTGATTCCGGTGATATTAGTGGTAGTGGTAAGTTATTTGTTGTATTTTTGTTACCTTGGAAGATCGAACTTGTTTTTATTTCTCGGAGTAGTGAGAAGTTTACAATTTCCATGTAAGATATGCCACATTTTGTCTTCATTTATTCAGAAGCTAAAATACGAAAATTTCATTGCATATAATTTTTTCATGTGGATTGCCACGTACATAACAGGGAATTCAGTTCCTACTTTGAAGGTGTTGGGATTGAACCTTTCATCTTATACTGCTATAAAATGTTAAAATAGGATTCTTTGAAGACATTCTATTAAGAGACTAGGTTTTTTTTTATTATTTTGTTTTTTTTTTTTTTTTTTTTTTGCGTGTTTCGTCTTGGTTTCTTTCTTCTACATTAATAGAACTTCGATTTGTATCGTCGATCGAATGAATATTTAAGAACTTATCAGGAAATGGTGACAAAAGCGAAAATTCACGACGTGGTCGACAAAAAAGTGGTTCAAAGAGGAATAGTGTTGGAGCAAGAATGTCCAAGGGTAATAATGTTTTTACTGCATTCTCATTTTCAGTGATATTAGGACCTTATTTTTATTTCAAGATATTGGAATTCAGACTTTTAAAATAAGTATGCTAACCATAATTCAGTTTTGAATTTTCTGCTCGGTGTATTAATTTAAATTATAGATTATATGCAGAATTGCAATCTTCGCATGATCCACGTACTTATTGTGGTTTTCAGGATCACTCAATGAATCTTCAGATTCAAGGGCGAAAACTTCTTTGTCATTTGGTCCACCCATACCTGAAGATATTTTAGATGATCTTTGCTTCCGATTCCTTATCAATATACCAGACGATCAGGTAATTCATATGTTACCTTTAACTGGCATTCAATCTCTTCAGTGCACTGAGTGTTCAGATTTCATTATTTATTTCTAACAATTGGACGGTTTTCTGACCCAAACAATTCATTGTTTTTCAGAAAAATGCTCCTGTACGACTCTGCTTTCAAATCGAATTGGCACATTGGTTTTATATAGATTTTTATTGCAAAGGGAATAATTCAAATGTTAAATGTCCTGAAGTGAGCATGAGAGATTTGGTCGGGTGAGTGATCATAAAGTCTTCCTTTAAGGTTATTAATGATACGATTTTATATATGAACTTAATTTTCAAAAAAAAAAAAAAAAAAATTATAATTTCAAAAAATTAGCTTTTAGCTTATACTTATTTGTTCTTAAAGCTCTTCAGCGACCTCATCTTCTGGTGAAAGGAGGGAAAGCTCAATCGTAAAGATAGTTTCTTTGTCTTTGCATCACTAACTGCAGTTTTGTTTAGGCAAATATTCAACCATTGTGATTTCCTTATCCAATACACAGACAACGTAGACAAGGTAATTTATAAGAGTCATTTTTTAAGTTTAAGTTCTGCTCATCATTAGTCTTTTTAGTGATCAATAATGCTCCTGAAACTTTACTGATAATCTGATGCAGGTGATGGAAGAATGGCGTATTTATAAGTCTGGTGTGCCAACATATGGTGCTGCACTCTTGGATAGCTCACTGAATTACGTGCTATTAGTACAGGGATATTTTGCAAAGAACAGTTGGGGATTTCCGAAGGGAAAAGTTTGTTGATTTTTGAAAGTTTTTAAAACGACTAGTAAAATGTTATTTGTTGGTCATGTGCGAATACTTAAAAATCATTTCTATTCCTAATGTATGACAGTGTATCTTTCTGCATGCAAAATATTTTAGTGGTAATGTTAGTTCATAGCAAAATACTACCTGAGGAAACACACTGATAGTGGGGGTGAGCAAAAGTTAAAATTGTATCGGAAGGATAAGTGGCTTTAAAAATGTCTGCACAAGGGATGATAAGAATGTTTTTTATAGAGAAATTTTAATAATAGCCAGCATAATTAATTTCTTTGATGCAATATTCAGGAAAGATTTGACTTAGTTTGCAAGACGCATGCAAAACCGAAAGTGTGAATAAGCATGTAGTTTAAGCGGAATAGGTGGCAGAAAAAAGTGGAATATATAAAGAAATCAAGCCGCTTTTTGTGACTCACTACAATAAAATTTTTTAATTGGGTGAATAATGGATATTAAAACTCCATTGTTTACACAAGGGATGATAAGAATGACTATTCAAACTTTTGCTTAGCATTTGTATGTATATTGTTCATTACTATACAAGCATCTGGAGCAATACATACTGCAGATGATTGTGATATATCTCGTTCATGCCACAACGCAACATTTTCTAATGCAGGAAATGCGGAACTACGTATAAACATGAGAGCCCAGTTATTTTTTCACCTAAAATAAGACTGCACTTTTGTGGCATGGTAGAGCTTTCTTTCTTTATAAATGACGAATTGATATAACTTACACCGAGCTAGTTTTATAGGATGAACTGATAAGCAAACTTCGTATTACTGAAAAAAAATGTGTGCTAATTGCCATATTTTCTAAAAATACACGCATATATTAAGTATTAGCCCCTTAACTATTAAAAAAATAAAAAAAAAAGTGAGTTTTAACAGGAAGTAATTGATCGTAAATTTTCTTGTTCTGTATAAGCGACGCTATGCGATTAAGATAGCAAGGCATATGAAAAGCATCATTTGTGTGATTGCCGATTTTGAACTGGAAAAATTTCATCATTTATGTAAAAAAATGGATAGTAAACTAGATAAAGGAAGGAGATAACAAACTTACAAAAGAATACCATAATTTACCTAAAATTTTTAATCCAGAAGTTGAAGGAGTTGCAGTAGTAAATGACTGCATTTAAGATAAATGAACAAGAGGAACCGATGGCTTGCGCTAGTCGAGAGGTAATGGAAGAAGTTGGTTTTGATATTTCTGACAAAATTTGCAAAACACGTTTGATTCAATGTTTTGTGAACGATACTTTAATTCGACTGTATATAATACGCGATGTTCCCATTGATTTCCCGTTTGCTCCTAATACTCGAAACGAAATAGGGTGCGTACTTTTTTTTATGCTCCAAGATTTGTTAAGTAATTGTATGAAGTGAGTGAGAATATTGCTTTTTTCCTAACTAAGAAAAAGAAAAATTCCAATTTTCAGCAAGATTCAGTGGTTCTGTATTTGGGATTTACCGAAGGATCGAAACGACGTTGTCACGTGTGAGCGAATTGGTATGTCTCCAAGCAGTTTTTACACCGTGATTCCGTTCGTCAAAGAGCTGCAAGCATATATTTCGAAATATAACACTCACAATAAGCTGAAACATAAGGTCAAGATGGTTTAGTTCTTATGTCTTAACCAAATTATATAATTTATTTTATCAAAAAGATACTCTTTTCCCTCTGAAATGCTTTTAAATTGTAGCATTCATAATTGTATACGTTATGCAGGTTAAAAATGCTGCATAATATATACCTACTGTTATTTCTGCTATATGAATGATATTTATGTTTGTACGTATGTATGTATATCTGTGTGGAATGCTCGATTACCAAATTAGGAATGGAAGGTTTTGAAGGAAAAAATTTAAGATATGAAAATTAAAAAAAAGAAACAACAAAAAAAAAAAAAAAAAAAAAAAAGAAAAAGAAATAACAATGTTTAATCCTCCAATACTGAAAGCAATGCTCTACTGAAGGAGTGATATTTCATTTTTTTGCAGCCAGTGGATGCGATTAATATTAGCACACGTTCATCAAGCGCGTTTAGTCCTGTGCAGCCTCAGCGTACGTTCCTTTTTTTTTTTTTTTTTTTACAATAAATTTATAATTTTGATATGATCCAAAAAGCTTTCATTACTATTACTTTTATTGTGCCATCATTATTGCTACTTGCATTTTATTTATTTCAATTAGAGTTATAATTAGCACATCTTTCAGTAAATGGAGAAGTCATTTTATTAACTTATCACACCGATATATTGAATTAATGACATGATGTTTGAAATTATCACAAGGCCTTTGTACGTAGAGTTTCATATCTGTCACTTATGTCAGTTTGATATTTGCATGCAGTTGTCTCATTATCAAAAGTACTATGGTATAACAATACCATTATCAACTGTGGTAATAATGACACCACACCATTGAGCATAATAACTGTCGCAATAGTACCATATTGACAAAGAAATTTTTTTTTTTTGCTTGTGAACAATTTTATTATATAGAGAAGAATGAGATGCTAGCACCAGCACTAAGTCCTTTATTCAACACGAAGACTACAGCAAATATGAATCGTTCAGCGGTTTCTCATTATTCTTCCCAGCATGCATCACCAAATTCGGCATTTTTCAAGCCGCTGACATCATCAGCGCAACATATTTCATACACTGGTACCGCCTTTGTACAAATGTTATCCGGCGCTTCCTGTACGAGCATCGAAGGTAGATCTCATTAGGAATGTTGTTTATACCATGTGTTTCTAGCTTTCAAACTTAGCCGAAGATTCATACGGTTTTACCAGAGTGTTATTGTTTGAGACAGTATTAAAATGTAAACGAGAAAAGTAATTTGTTATAGTGGTGTTAGTGGCTATATTCAGTTTTGTTAATAATTTTATTAATAAATTATGTGAAATCTCCAGAAAGAGTGAAAATGAAAGAAGTAACAAGACCAGTGCCGACAGTTCCAAAAGCAGCTGTGCCAGTACTTGGTCGTCCAGTATATGATGCATTCAGAGATGAAGGGGAAAAGAAGGTATGTAAATAAAAACATTAACAGGTTTTTTTTTTTTTTTTTGCTACAAATTTTTTTTTTCAGTATTTTGAAACTTTTAGATTTGAGGGATTCTAAATTGTATGTTGGATGAAAATTTTGAGCACGATCAGATATGTGCACTTGCACTCTGTTAATTTTTCAGTTGATAAGCTATATAAATTTAACTTTTTACTTGTAGGAATACTATTACAAATTGTGGTTTAATACTCACTGCATCAAATACTTGCATTTAATTTCAGGTATTTTCATCCGTACAAGAATCACCACAGAAAACATCATTGAGTGGTATTCTTTATCAAGGAATTAGAAATGCGAAAGAAGTGACCAACTATCCGGTTGGTAGTAGCGTACAGAAAGCTGTGGAATGTGACAGTTGTTTCAGTTTGCCAGTAAATAAAGATATTTCACCACTGCCTCATAATCCAGGGTTTGCCTTTATTTGACTAATGAGATTGTAGAAAACTAGTTTGGAAGAAGTTATCGGTGGTTTGTATTATTTGCTCGAGTTCAAATCGTTTTCTAAACTTGTTGGCATTCTTTGTCAAATAAAATATTTTTCAGAGAGGACTTAATGAAGAATTATTTAAAAGGAATTAGTGGTTGCTTGAAAAACCCAAAGGTTTCAACGACGAGTCATATGACTGAAGACAAACCACTCATTAATTTGTGCAATGCCTGGAAAAATTTCAAAGTTTGTGATTTTCTTTTTGAATGTAACGTAAGATTTCAAGTGAGTACGATCTTCAGGAATAATAGTATTGAATTTTAATTTTTTTTTCCGTTTGTGGAATCATACCGTTTGTCTATTTATTGTGTGGTTTTGCATATTTCTAAGTAAAAAGTAACAAGAATCAAAAACGGTATTGGTAAACTAGTATTTTTTTTTTGTTTGAGTTAATGAACATTCTATGAATTTGATTGCATAAAGGGCGCGTGTATTTTCAGTTCGATATTTCGCGATTATTTTGAAAGTGTTGCTTATAAGAAGCTTAATTGTCAAATGTACAGCTGGATTTTATTTTGACTTTAAATGAACCAAGAAAAAAAAAACCAAAAAATGCAGATCTTGGAGGATGGTTTTAAAATAATGGAAATACCAATTAAAACATTCTTGCAGACTATGCGAATGTTAAGACAAGTAATTCTTATTCTTAAATTGCCTTTGTAATAATATTAACTGGTGAGATAACACCAGCTTGTGTCTGAAAATTATCTGTAAATGCTAAGTCATTCATCAGAATTCACATCCTCTAATTATATGTGTGTAAATTATAATAATGTTTTATCAAATATCCATAAATGTCAATTTTATTTCTAACATATTTGATTTATTGATGTTAATCAACTTCAGTTTTCATCACTTGAAAAATTATTTCTGCAAGTTTCAATTTACTTTCAGACAAATATTTAAGACATATTCTAACATCTAAAATGATTATTTACTTTATTATTTCAGACAAGTTTTACTCCAGATGTGCTGTATTCATACCCAAGATCTTTTATTTGCTACTGCTGTTTTTCCATATTGAAATTGTTCAATTTTGTTCATGTTATTATCGTTTCTTGAAGGATTATTTTTCGTGTCAATTGAACTTCGAGGGAAATTATTCAGTATTTGATTTGGTGCATCTCTTCAACACTTCCAGTCATGTTCATCTACTTTTCAAAATATCGAGATATTTTTTCTTTTGACTGGTTAATTGTTTGGGTATATGTTACTCATTGTGTGTTTATTGAGCATGTCATACTTATCGTTAATTGATAAAAGTATCTCGTTAGATGCAATTGATTATTTATTTCTTGAACGAAACTTCTTGAGTACTGGTCTATGCTGTGCTGTGAATTAGAGAATGGTTTTGCTTATTCTTTGCTTCTTAGCTCGAAATTTTTTTTTTTTTTTTGATGATTGAAGCATCATGTCACTCCTGGTTTTCAAATTAAAAACGTCATACCATTGAACTCAAAACTAAATCTCAAAAAATCGCAATATTTGGGAAATTAATGGTAGAAATGAATGGTAAAAATCGCAATATTTGGGAAATTAATCTAAACAGTTCTGATTTTTAGTTTTGATATGGAATGGGAGTGGTAGTATAGATCGATGTAATGAGTTGATTTAGGATTAAAGAAATAGCAAACCGTCAGGAATGCCAGTGCTTCTTATATTTCACATCGAAGGGGTAATTTTGTCTTCAATCAAAAAGTGCTAAAAGATTTTAAAGGATGGAATATTTAAATTCAAAAAATGCACAAAAAGTAAGCTGAAGTACTGTTGGAGGTTTCAGGAAAATCTCTAAATCAGGAATCATATTTTTTATATAACATATTGCTGTTAGTCACATTTATATAATTGATTTTTAATCAAGAAAAAAAGTGAGCAATAAATGAGGGAAAGAGATTTCATAAAATGAATGGCAAATGAAGAGGTTGGTTAGTGGACAAAAGTTGAAGATTAACCACAAACTTATGATTTAGAACTAATTCACGAATTAAATTACAATGGACTAGTATTTGGAAATTGATATGCTGATCTAAAATTTAATTGAACAACAAACAGAATGGAACCTGTAAGATTCGAATTTGCACCTTTATGTATCTATGCTCACCACTAGATTATTTTCATCAATTTCTAGCGAATTCCTTTTTCATTTCTCTATCTTTTTTCTTAACAATTTAGCAGCAATCTCAACAGCTGTTTAATGATCATATTTCGGCTGATAATTTGCTTAAAAGTTTCATATGTTCCACCGATGAGTTGTTAGTGAAATTGCTAGCCAGTTTCAAATTTCATGAAATATATGTGAAATATTTAAGGAACCTAGATAGTTTACTAGCTAACTTCAGATTTCATAACTGTTTATGAGAAATTTGAAATTTTATGATGTTTCGCTCAGTGTTGGCCAAATCCATTGTATTTATGAAGTATGTGATAACATTAATTTATTAGAAAATAATCTAATTCTCAAACAGTACTCTGTGAAAATTTTGAAATATATTAAACTATCAGTGCTTTTATTTACATTGAGCAGCTTGAAATACTGCTCTTTTCATGAATCTTCCTTCGGCATTCCATTCACTAATTCAAATATCATATTTGATGACATTTATACACGTCGTCTAATTTCCTTCTATGAAACTCCAACTATAACTTCCTAATCCTATGGAAAAGAAAAAAAAAAAAAAAAAAAAGATAATGAAGCACTAGTACTAATATTACTGTACGTTGAACATGAAATAGATATATGCAACTAACGTACCGAAATCATGTGAAACTATCTTGTACTTACCTGAGGCTATAAACGAAATATTCTTGCAAGGTCGAGAAGTAGAAATTCCAAGGGATTTCAAACTAATATTTAGTACAGCTAGCAACAGAATGTTCATAGAATGGACACTAACTACTATTCTCTTCCCTTTCATGCTCCTCGGCTTCTCACATATCGTTACTACTACGGTTACTGAACAGAACCATCAATTAATTTTGGAACATGTGACACTCGAAACGATAATAAACAACTTTTACTCGAAGCAGTCAAGAGTAATTCCTAGTAATAAACTGAAACAAGTAATGTATCACAGATATATTCAATAAGTTCAACAGTTCAGTTTTTCTATCAGTTCAAATGAATTGATAAAGAAACATTTTAAATAAGTACGCGCCATGTCGAGCACTCGAGTTTATAATTTAAAATTTCATAGCGAGCTAGACCGGAAATGAAAAGAAAGAAAGTCAAATACTCTCGTTAAAGCACGACCAAATTTCTAGCTAAAGCACAGTTAATCTTCGTCGTTATTCTATAGTTATGTCTCTTCCTGGATCAAAAATAAGTTCTGGACCAGGTTCCCTTTTAGATCACAACTTTTAAATTATTCCCCTTACTTTTTTGATCAACAAAATAACATTAAAGAGGTGCTTCATTTGGTCAGAGCATATACTTGAGTTCAGTTTAAAAATATGACAAGGAAAACTGAAGGATGAAGTAAACGAATTCTTGAAACTTAAAAGAAAAGCTTGCGCTATAAAAAATCGCAGTAGAATAAAGATAAAAAAAGATGAAGAAACCATTCAGACTAAGGAAGAAAATAAAAAAATAAATGAGGTGAACAATAATTTTTCGAAGAATTTAGCTTCACACTCGGATTAAGAACGAAGAACTACAAAAGCTCCTATATATTGCAGTCATTGTTGCTCTCGGCTTCTTTTGTTGAAATAAAAAGATTCAAACAGGAAATGCATCCGATTTAGAAATGTGAAAAATTTTAAAATAAATCAACATCACCAATAAATAAAACGAATAAAATGACCTGCTTCTTAATGATTAAAAGGAATATTTACCAAAAATAATGAGAAATTTAAAGACCACAAGACAAACACCTAATTCTCAGGAAGAAGAATCAAGAAACTACTCGAAAACAAATACCACATGATTCTCTCTCTGAATTCAGTTTTAGGTCAACTGGAACCTGTATTCTTATTTGAGTCTTTCCTCCCCTATAATGCATTAAATCAGGACACTTCAGAATTCTTGCTCTTCTTCTTCTTTATTAATTTATTAATAAGTGCGAGCAGACTTATGCTGAACAACGCATTTGTAACAACGTGTAACAACAAAACTGCTTGAAAAACTACTATTAGCTATATATTTCCTGCAGCCTGTCACAACTTGGCGTCCCCATACGTTGGGCTCGATTCCATAAATCGGCATCACCAAACGTACGTGCTCTCCATAAGGCAGTCTCTCCTTAAGTAACGGATAACTCAAAACTTAAAAACAGAGGAATATTAGTGCAACAGGTATCACAAATAATAGTAACGATCTGCATGCGATTTCTTTGAAAAACCCTATCTGCAATATCTGGAAATAACACTAAACTCACTTTCATTTCTTTCTCTGTAGCACTTCATGCGGAGATGAGAAACATACTCGTCTTCAACTTGATGCTCAATTTGAGCTATCTTACTCCGATAATTGGTTAAAAAATCAGTTTTAACATAATATGGCACTTGGAGATCCTTCGTAAAACGTTCTTCAGTATATTTGCTAGAATGCCGAAATTCTTACAAAAAAAAAAAAAAAAAAAAAAAAAAGAAAAAGACAACACAGTTTAACTAAACTGTTCTTAATTTCTCATACAAATATCAACATATTTTCACATCGTTTATTTTGATTTATTCAAAACCAAACTTCGAAAATCTTCACAAATCAAAATTTTTTCAAATAAAAAAATTACCCAGTACGATGCAATGAAAACGCTGGGTCGCCTACCATAAGTTGAGCAATCAAACCAAGGAAGAGTACGGCAAAAAGTGGTAGAAGTTGCAAAATGGGTGCATATGGTGACTGAAAAATAGCTCATTTTAAACTGACTTAACAGTACAATGTGAGATGCAATAAAAAAACTATGAGTCATACGTCTATCAAACAAATCAATAAAAGATGAAAACCTGGTCCTGTTGTCCTGAATGTTGCTGATGGAAATGATACTGTGCTCCCCGTTGCCGTCTATTTATATGGCCAGCTGGATAACCACCACCAAAAAACATGTTGAAAATCTCTTCCGGAGTAAATTCCGCTATAAATCAAATTATCATTACATACAGCAATGAATTTCCCAAAAACTGTACAACGATGAATTTTACAACACAGCAAATACACTCGAAATTTTAATTCCTTAAATATCGGCAATGAAAGTGAATAAAATTGATAAATAATAATCTAAAAGCAATCGTTCTTAATACTTTACTTGATATGAAAAAAATTATTGACAAACCTTCAAAACCTCTACCATAATCATATTCGCTAAATTCGTCCTCATATTGATTGGACCGTCTTCGTGGTCCTTCAGCACCGTAGAGATCATATTGAGCACGCTTATCTTTATTAGAAAGAACAGCATAAGCATTGCCAAGAGCTACAATAAACTTTCGGAGTTATAACAAGCAAACATTTAAAACTATCAAATGGGCC